ACGAAACGATATTACGAACAACAAGAGTAAAATGGCCCGAGTATAACCTCAATGGAATCGAGATTACTATCAATTCAATTATTAACGTACTATTAACTAACGTATAAATTAACGTACCAAGGCTCGACTCTTTTTATTCAACTGCCTGGCATGAATCACGCACGAATTACGGATCTATCAAAGCTTTCAATAATAAATGCAATCGATTACTCAACGTTAATCCGCCGCTGAGGAAAACAAAAAGTTATGGAATTATTATATACGAACAGTTTAAACGAAATTAGTACAACGCGTTAAAAGAAATGTTCACAAACGTGATCGACAGTCTCGAAGAATATTTTCCTCTAAAAAATGTTGGACGTTTCTCTCAGCTTTTCCTGTCCAGTGTTTAGCGAGTAAACAAAAATAGATAATATTCCAGTTGAAAAAAGAAGCAGAGTGCCCTTCGGTCAACTAAAGTCACATAAAACCGTTAAGAACTCGTAGCTCATAAACTTTCTCCCTGTGTCACGTACGCCGTGTCTCGGCCGTTAGACGAGACCACGAGCTGGACACGTGTTCGTAGGAATATTTATACAATTTCATCAGGCGATCTACGATTGGCAACTAGTGTCATTAGTGCCAATACAGGCCAGTCGTAACAGTTCTCGGACCGGTAATTCTTTCAACGATCGAAGACGCCACTGAGGTCGGATCCTACGTTCTTATCGCGTCGCGTTTCTGGTTCGAAGCAGCCCGATAACCGACATATCCTTGCCGACATTACACCCTCCAACGCGACGGAATCTTACCGGACAAAGTTTAATCGCCGAAACCATAAAGAAGACGCAACGCATCGCATAGATCGCACGAGATGCTTTTGTGTAGCCGATAAAGGGAAAAGTGTCACGAGATAAAAAACGATTTCGACGTCAATCACGTTCGACGGTGACTTGTCGTGCGAGGGACACACGATTTATCTAGGGTGAATTCATTTTCGGTCTTGTTACAATTTTTCACTTTTACAGACATTACAGCGGTGGCCCTGGAAGAGGCAAAATGGGTGCTTGGGGGTCTTGTAATTTTTTTGTTCATTTAAATAAATTTACACTAGAATCATTCTATCGTGAGTATTATTATTCTAGAGCGACCCAATATTAGTAATTTGGCCAAACCATTGATGCTATCAACTGTTTAAGCTAAAGAATGACATATGTTTGATCGATATCGGAAACTATGTATCTGTATCTCACAAGTGTTTTTTGAAAATCATGATGGAATGGGAAGATAGCGACACGAGAGGTGCCATGCTTGTTTTGTTAAAAGTTACCAAACTTTCTTCAGTCTCGCTGTCGATATGATCGATTGCTTGTCCGACAATCGATAACAACACGGACGATACTAAATCATTGGAGACTACGTACTAAACGCGTCGTTAACCATCTCTTTTGATCTGAAGTGGCTTCGATCGTTCTCACTAAATCGCCAATAAATGTTCGATGTTATCGACCAAAATAAAGAAAGAAAGAAAGAAAGAAAGAAAGAAAAAAGCATTTGACCGCGTGACAATTTGCGTGACTTGGAGAGCGTACGATAATCTGCGTTCGTGTTCTCCCCTAGTGCAATAAGAAGGGAACACGATGTTCAAGATACGAGGCGCGTGTCTCGATTAATACGCACCAGACGGTAGATGTAATTCTATATTTACGCGTCCGATAATGACAGACTGCGCGTTTAGAATATAATTATTTCAAGACACATTGGGAGTTTTGCATAGATGGAGATAACCTCTTGACATTTGCTGATTTGTATGTGGAACGATACAGTTAGGGGACGTTGATACACAGTTATTGTATACGTGCAACGCTAGATAAATCGCGTAACATCACGTGCCCATAACTATATGTACCGTGAATAATTTAATGCATGTTTCGTGTCACGCAGTAAATCATTTTAACCATTCCAATTAATCTTTTTCCTATACCACTTGAGTAAACAAATACGAAACTATTTTCTAGCGACGATTACTGGAAAAATTAGATATCTGAAAACGTCTACTTCCTTTGCATAGTAAACGAGAATAAACGAGAATCATAGGGCCTGGAGGGTAGCACTGATCTATCCCATTCGGAAACCTATTGAGCTGGCACATATTGTGTAAATTCTAGTCGGTAGGAAACGTCGAGTTCAAAGGAGTGACATAATAACGTTTGTGAGTCACGCGTGGCTCCCGAAACTAAATAGTCTACACTTTTAAACGGAACGACTGTTATGTAAGTCCTAATAGGGCGTCAAACTCTATCGTACGTTCACCGCGACAGGCTACGTTCTTTGGCATTTGTCAACACTAACGTCAATCTATTCGCGTCTCTGGTCGTTTTTATTTGTTTACCTTACGCACTTTACAGTTTTGCGAAGGTGTGATGTAAAATCAAAGTCCAGCTAAAGTGTTGTATTTTTAAACTTAATCTCGTGCTACATCTACCCCAAGGAAAGTTCAAAGTTAATTACGATTCGATATACATTACATGACGCAATATTTTAGATTACGTAATTTCCGTCACGATTCTTTCCTCGAGAGTCAGTTACGAGATAGCTTGATATTCGCTCATTCCCGGACAACCAACGTTTTTATTCAAATTTTTACCTCTTTCGGGCGTGTATTCCTCGCTTTTCAACCGAGCTTCTAAAAACGTCCGTGGGGGGTCCGACCATGGTTGTCCCTATGTCGGTTCGCATTGCAACTATTTTCTCAGCGCTTTCTCCGGAAGTGCATACGTTGCAGGGCGCGCGTGGGAATTATATGGGCAAACGATTCATCTTATATCACGTCGACTGTCTCCAAGTAGGCGTCCATGAGAGACGAGTGACCGGGAAACACGGCGTATGTGTGCGGGGGCACGAGAGCACGCGGCAAGCGCACTTAAAAACGAGCAAAATGCATTTTAAGAGAGCAGTCAAGCCGGTTACCAGAAGAAATCTGCTGCTAACAAGTCTGGAACGCGATTCATGGGAGACACTGTTAACGTTACTTTACATTTTCGATTCGTTCGAAAAGAAACTCCAAGTTTTCATTGATAACTTACGACGAGCTATAAATAAGTCAATAACTTCGAGCGCTATAATTATTCCACGATTACTCTCAACTTTTCATGTGCGATGAATACGTTTTTATGAATACGATAAATAGACTGGCGGTACTTTTGATTATGTTTAATATAGATTTGTACGTATAGGTAGCTTATATCGCGAATGCATAAAATCGGTATCGCGCACGGTAATGATAGTTTTTAACGTCCTGTTCGTGGATAAAAAAAAAATCGCGATATGGTAATTATATTAAAAAAAAAAAAAACCAAACAAAAACAGACACGACTATCAATAACCAATTAGAAAGTAACCGTTACTAGCTTTTGCATCGCGTGTCTGGCGCCGCTGAAAATAATTACCGTTACAAACAAGTGACTCCTAATACTTATTCATTATTTTCGTTGTGTCGCGAGGTCAGGAGCCAGCTAATCGGTCTCTCGTTCGCGTCGTTAAAAACGTCGGAGATTAAATAATAAAGCTGCTAACAATGTTCCTTCCCTCCTATAACGTCTAATCGGCGCGTTAATATTCTTTCTTTATTTCGCGATAAAAGCATTTCTCTGAAATGCAGATAAGAGCAAGCCTTTCTGGAGCTTTCGTTCCGCTCCTACAATTCCCTCTCTCTCTCTCTCTCGTTTTACTCAACGATTATCTCATACACGTGTTTCTCGCGGGCAAAGCGTGCACGCGTATGCTCCACGCATTGTTCCCATCTAAACTACTTTCAACGCCGGTCTCTAAACTTATTTAAAAGGACCCTCCGAAATTTGTCCGAAATACATAAGGACACACGGTAATGGGAAAACCCCATTATTTACGCGAAGTGTTCTCGAGAATTTTTTTCAAAGGAGGAAACGAGATTCAGATTAATTCGAATCCTAGGGGTTTTCCTCCATCACAGTTCCATACAATAGGGGGTCAAACGAGAAGAAAATGATCAAGGTACGTGATACTACAGTGCAGAGGTACTTCACTCAGCCCTCTCCCTTCCCTCCAATTTTGTCAAAGTCTGCAGAACTTGGTGGTTTTAATTGATTAAACGAATATGCGAATACGTCGTCGGACCAATGATCGCCATACATTGGCAAGAGATAACGCTATACGATAAATATAGAGCGTTCCTTTCAATACGACACTCGTGACATTCCTCGCCGAACGTTATCTCGGGGAATTTGTTTGTAAACATAGAGATCTTGGCGTGGACGATATACACGCTGCCGACAGGATTATAAATGAACTTTATCTGAAGTTATAGTTGCATAGTACTCTGCGATGGGCAGCCAATTGTGTAATACTACGCGTTTATGTATTACATAAGAAATTGTTGTGGATTCGCGACGGATATTTTCTCGGTCGCGTGCATAGATTCCAATTGTAGATCGATCCATGAACTTTGCGCAAACACGATTACACGGCATTTAAAACGTCTAACAAGCGACGGGTTTATTCTATAGACAATAACAGACATCTGCCTGGGTTTCATCCAACGAGAGGGGGCCTTAAAATCAATGTCCCAAAAACTCGTTGCTGCTATTCGTATATAATACAGGAAGAATACATCGTTTGATAGGTTCGATATAAATGAATATTAATTAATTGAAATGAATAAAAAGTTCGAGTTGCTCGCGACGTAGCATGAACGTTTGTAATACGTAATTTGTATACTTTTTCCAAAATATTACCAAATATATTTTTACTTGAAATTGGTTACACGAAACTGATTAATTAGAGGTCCTCTATCTTTGTTAAGTAATCACAGGGCAAAAAACAAAGAAACTATTATTCGTTATTTTTCGAGGTCAATTTCGATGGAATATGGAACAATATTCGCACTACTCGCAGGTTACGAACCACACTATCATTAACGATTCAATCGATAACAAGCTTATACAAAATAAATAAGCAAATAGAATAACCATAAAATTACTTACGTATTTGTTTGCTTCGAGAACCGTTCCACCAGGGAAGTGGCACGAAATAGGAAGATCAGATTTTCTCTGTAGAATCGGTGTAAGGCACGTGCCTTCTCTGCTTGTCTTCCAAACACGCACAAATCTTTAAGTTCTTCTCGAGTCTTGGTTTAAAGTGATAGTAGGCAATCTCCAAAGGAACTTTCGAATATAGTTGAACACATTGTAGATTTCTTGTTAGTAATTTAATGTTGATTTTTCCGGGGTAGACACCGCGAAAAAAAATCGAACACTATGAAACGAAACGGTTGGTAAAGCAAGGTACAAAGTGGACGGTTTTCACGTGGCAAAAACGACGCTGTGCATCGATGCCAATTTGTAAGCGTCACAAATGTTTGTCCATTCTGTTTCGTGATATGACACTTGTTAAGATTGTTACAAGACTATTTCCGTGGACGTTTTCTTGTATTGAACCGTGAGAGGTTTACGAGATACCTCTGTCTCTGATCGCCGGCGCGAGTCGCGCGTTATGACCTCCTCCTCGTTCCAATTGCTTCTGAGGCACCGGCATAAAGTGTCATCCCACCATACGTCGTCGGCGAGCCGGTGTCCTGTAACGCGCATGCGCACGCTTCAGCAGCCCCTCATGTGCTTCACGTGATCACGAGAAATCGGCGAATCGGAAGGCTCCGTTGGCCACGTGCTCGCATTCTTACGCTGGTGCTGGCGACACGACAGTCTCGATTCGTAGGCCAGAAGTTAATAGGAACCGAGAAAAGAACAGGACAACCGATCGCCGGGCAACACCGGTTTTCACCTCGATTTTTATTACCGATCCTGTCCCGACATCCCTTAAAAATAAAATTCAGAACGCCAATAAATGTAGCACATGTCACTTAATCGCTTAACGCTACGAGCTCAGAATACTCGCGATCACTATATCTATACACTGCAGAAAATGTCTCCGAATGGAATACAGATTTCGCGATCAAATAAAACTCACCAATTATCAGATGTCAGCTTCTACGATATTTTCGATTAGAATTTTTCATTTATTTCAATGAAAATGTAACTGAAAGCTAAGTAATATATTATTATTGCATTTCGAATACGTTTAATCGTCAATGAAAAAAGGTGAACGCGCGATCGGGGTTTCATAATTCTATCAAAAATTTTAATTGCTTTAAACTCGAGGCATCGTCAAAGAATGTTTATAAAGTAAAAGCGTAGTATGATGAATATTGCAGGATTGGTATAAAATAGTACGGGTTATTTATTTTCAAATTAGCCTCCCTGTCGTATAACGTAAAAACGGTAACTACAGACGTTCTTTCTGACCATTGTATCTGATTGGATCGATGTTTACAAAAACCATGAATCATGAAATGAACCAGAGGGATCAATTCAAACGCTCCAGGGAGTAATAAGTATACAATGTTTGTCGTCAAGTCTACTGTGGGACAATAGAAATGAATGGTGAATGGTATACTGATAAAATTCGGCAATAAAGTAACGGTTATTGATGACACACAATTTACAAGTGATGCACGACTTACTCGACGACCGTACATCGTAGAAACAAGATAGATCTGTTTCCTTCTTTGCGAGTGTCGCAGATATAAACGAGTTTTCTGGTAACATGACACTGTCATATTGCTTCAATGCAAAAGATTCCTATTATACTCTAGTTCTAGTATATGCTCCGTTAAGTCCATTGTCACTGTGCAAAGGATTACAATCACTTAAAATATGATATATCTCTTGGTTAGGACAGCTTCAATTTGATTTGTTTTTTTTTCTCCTCACTTAAACGAACAATGAACAAACATTCGTCGAATGATTTTCACGTGAAGCCAGTCGCGAGGCGAGGAAATGCAAAAGAAAATGTGAAACTGAACGTAACGGTAAAAAGAATTTTTTTTTGCTTCTTTGAGTCAGTTCATTTTGTTCGTACAGTTAAAGCATAAGAATCGAATACGTTCGATTGACTGCTAGTTCTGGATGTAGCAAATACAAGGACAGAAATTTTCGGTGTGTTGGTTTATAATACTTTGTTCGTTCGTATCCTTATACATATAAGAATGCAGAATTGACAAACACTGAATTTGTTGCATCATGTTTGAGCACTTACTTAACGAACACATACTTTATATATACACCCATAAATAAAACCGTCACCTAAATAATTACTACGAGTGTATCGAGATTAATATTGAAAACGTTTGTTTCATTTATATTCACACTCATACATTTATGTATTCGCATATTCTTTTTTTTTTTTCATTGGAGATACAAGATGCGATTTCATACCACAATGTACAATACGTACATACAAACAATTTAATGCCGCGAATTATTTGAAGCAAGATTATTCCTATTAGTTTAAAGAGATCACGTTAGCGATATCAATAAATAATGATACGAATAGTTTCCTATTTATAGAACGTTACGTCGATCGTAGCGTTTTACATAACGGAATAAAATATTTCCAATTGTAATCTAATTGCTTCATGCGATTGATATTAACACAACTCTCATTAGTAATTATTAATAAGAAAAAAAGACTTCGTTGTGTATATTAAAAGATGGTAGTATACTTGGTATTTGAATGAAAAATATTTGCATAATTTGCTCGAGAGAAACCAAACTATGCTCGTGTAAAAATAATTAGGTCGGATGAACGATCAGCATGTTTTGTTGAAAAGAAAAATGCATGTACAATAAAATGTATATGTATGTACAATATTAAAAATTATTACGAGCTTATAGGAACCCTGTTGATAATATCGTCAACATGAATGATTTATTCTATGCTTCAACTATCAACCGAATATGTAAAATACTCGCATACCTATATACAGGTTAGAGGTAAAGTCTAAAATTTTATTAAAGTAAATTTATATCTTCTCGGTGGCGTAAAAAAAATCTACGCGAATGATACAAATACTAAATTATAATACCTTTCGTTGTGTGAAGAATTTGCATTTTGCATGTAAGTTTTGGTTGTGACGAGTCTATTTGGTTCGTTCGATTATGGTCGTATGGCTACATGCGAAAACATACTTATAACTTATTTACAAATTAAACGTTTGCTAACAGACTTTACCTATAACGCATACGATTAAAACAGTTGTTATAACCAGCACAATTATTTAGTTTTAAATTGACACATATATAGAAATGCCTTCGTCTCATCTTTAAGAAATACCATACGTCTCATCATTATCAAACGACAATTAGGTGTAATGATTAAAATGTATTATATTACTTGCGTATATATTACGGAGAACGTATATGTTTACATATTTATCGTAATTCTTCTCAACAAAGAAGACAGACAAATGTACGATTAGTCATTTACATTAAAAAATCATGCTGGTCTTCGATATTCTAATTGATTCATGCTGATATATATATATAGAAATATACACCGTAGACAATATACATCGATAATCAGTCGTGTGTACGATTGCGTGGTCGAATAAGACCATTACGTTATCACAAATAAATGCTAAAAATTAAATGTCCTATCAATTGTCTTCTTCGAACTTCTAAACAAAAGAATTCGACGAACATCGTTGAAATTCACCTATCACTGTTTTACGGATTCATCAGAATGGTCATGATTCGGCTAAAGCAGGTAAAAAATGGAAGAAATTGAATTCGAATAAAATCAAATTGTTTCGACCATGGTTTAAGACAGAGAATTACACGTTCGAGATCTCTGACAGCAACAGAGACTTCGGAATCTTGCCGCAGGGCTGGACTCTTCCGATCACCGTTCCTCAACACTTTCGCTTCCTCCGGTTTCTTGCTGGGGCCTCGCAATCTGGTACGTAATCAGATACTCAGGATATGCTTGCTCACCCCTGTACACAACATATTCCGGGAAAACTAGGCCACCTTGCGATGGCCTGCCCATTACGCTATGATGACCTGGTGGTGCATGAGCCATTTTCATTGCCGAAAATTGTAAGAATGACTTGCCCAGCGTAACGCGGCACAGCAATAAGTGTCTGCAAGTGACAAACATAAAAGAATATATTACTGGGATATATAATATTAATCATGATACTGATTCAAATAGTGCTGCTTAGTTTGCGTATTTACCGGTGGCAGATATAACAGCTTCTGTCTTTATGAGCTGGGCACCCTGTACCTCCGCATATACCGTACACGTACTGATTACTTTTGCTGCTGTGTTCCGCGAAATAGATACCAGCGCCAAACATACCCCCGATATACGCGTGTCTTTCATCGAAACCCTTTTGAACGATAGCGTTGATGAATGGACTACCGTGAAAGAGCATTCTCTCGTTCGCTTGGGGCAAGGTCGAGCCAGGAGTGGTTCTATTGCCAGTGCTCGGAGAGGATGGTGCTGCCGCGCCAACTTCCTCTGCAACTTCCTGCCTTCTATGCGCGTAACGTTCCCACAGTTTGCGGTTTTGCACTTTTTGAATCTGTTTGTTTTGAAGGATCGTTATTAAATTAGCAAAGATGTTATTTTTAGATATTTTAATGAAATGCACTTAGTAGACGTACCCTAACTATATTATATCGAGAAAATATGCCACCAGAATGACCGTTATCTCTGTGCTGTCTAATAGTACTCTGCATTTCTTCTTCGACAGCTAAAAATTCTTTGTCCTCGGCTAATAAATCCACCAACAATGTTCCAGGCGCGATAGTCGGTTGCCAAGGAGTACCGGCAGTGGTATTTAAAAGTTTCTCCATTCCTTTGATTAATTTATGCCTATAGCCGTATGCGGACACTCCGACTTGCTTCAAGTCTTCGTGACCCATCTCCGCTAGTATATCTAATGTGATTTGTTCGCGTTCGAATAATTCCAACAGGAGTTGCTCTAAACCGAGACTCTGCAGAAAACCGGCAACGGTCGTGATGTTCGAACTGTCTTTCGAGGAATCTTTGGAGTCTCTTTCGGAGCATGTTTCAGACGGAGGCATCGGGCTCAAGCAAGAAGACGGTCTCGCGAGTGGCACGCACAATGTCATAGCTGTTCCAGAGGGCATAATGACGGTTTCTTGAGTGAGAGGCGGCGGAGGTGTCACTGGAACTGAACAAATTTGAATAGTAAATAAAATATATATGATTGTTGAACTTGAATTTACAACCAGTGATATTGGTGTATATCAGAATTGAAATTTATATACCTGCCACGATACTGGGTGGTCTACTGTTAATAGTATTATTACCGTTACCACTCAAATTAATGGCAACTCCTACGCCACTGTTACCAGATGGTACCGATGGTACTACTTGCTGCGAAGCCATAGCATCTTGCAATAAGCATCTCACGTCGTCAGCGCTAGCTAAATCCACCGGAGTTTGCCCTTCCTGATTTTTCAAGAAAGGATCCGCGCCGTGCGCCAACAAAAGGGCGCACAGCTGCGTTCTTCCTTTCTGTGCAGCCTCGTGAAGTGGTGTAAAGCCCCATTTGTCAGTCGCGTTTACTACAGTATTATATTTAATGAGTAACGCAGCGATGTCTAAATGACCATAACTCGAAGCATTGTGAAGGGGTATCAATCCTCCTTTATCCTGAGCATTAACATCTGCTCCACGTTCAAGCAAAAATTCCGCTACCTCCAAATTATTGTACCCCGCTGTGTTAAAATACGATTAGATTAGAATGTACGATAATAATACGTAACGATGGGAATATAAAAAAAAAGCAATCCAACTTACCAGCCAAGTGTAACGGAGTACTGTTACGACCTTGCGCATCTCTGCAATTGATATTGTCTTGAGTAACGAGTCGCTGTACCCTGGCTAAATTACCCTTCTTCGCTGCATCCAAAAGAGCACTGTTCCCTCGCAACAAGTCCGCTACATCTTGATCACCGTCTCTCACTAGATCTAACGGTGTTGCTCCATCTCTATTTTTTTTAGTAGCATCTGCACCGTGTCTTAGCAACAAGCGCACTATTTCGTATTTTCCTTTAGCAGCGGCCTCGTGAAGGGGAGTGAATTTCCACAAATCCGCAACATTTACCGATGCACCATGTTTCACTAATAATTCCGTTACCTCGTAATGACCGTAAGAGCAGGCATTGTGTAAGGGAACCAGTCCACTGAAAGTAGAAAATTAATTTTTTTTTTCAAGTAAACGCTTTGTGGGTTAGTCGAACATTTTTTAAAATGTTACAGTCAAATTAACATTGCTCTTACGACCAAAAAACACATGTATATCGAAGAGCAAATAAAGAAAAAAGAATTCGCTTATTCTTTTACTTATTTAAACATTTCCATGGTGAAATTTACCCTTTATCTTTGGCGTGTACGTCTGCTCCATGTGCCAATAAATATTCAACTACAGGCACTCTATTAAATCCCGCTGCGAAGTGCAGCGGTGTGGAATGCCGACCATCCAAGTCGCGACAATTGACAGCGTGTGGATTCGTTTGTAAAATTCTTTCCACCGCTGCTAGATCGCCAGATTTACTTGCCTCTAACAGCTGCGCTTCCGCGTCGTCTGTCCCGCTTGGCGGATCTGGAAAACAAAAACGTGAAGGGAAACATTACTCGATTAAACGATTACATTGCGTCTCAGATTAAGTTAGACTCCGAACCTTGTAGTATTTTAAGGACATTTTCTGCAGCTACTTGTGCCGCGGTATAGCCCTGAAGTGATACTATAGATGGATCAACATTGTACGATAACAATATTCTGCAAGCTTGCACATTGTCTTCTCTAACGCACCTGTTTATATAATAATAATTTTTAATGATAAAAGGAAATCAAAGATTTTCTCAGAAAATAATAACGAAACATTTCAAACGTTTTATACGATTCACGGTACCTGTGTAGTGCAGTTTGCCCTAATCCATCTAAAGCATTGATTTTCGCATTATGTCTAAGCAGCACATCCATTGCATCGTAATGAGAATGATCAGTGGCCACGTGAAGTGGTGTAAGAAAGTCTTTATTTTTCTCGTTTAAGGCAGCATTTTTCCTAATCAATGATTCTATTACTTGTTTTCTCTTGGGATAAGGAGATGCAACGGCGCAGTGGAGTGGTGTGTCCCCAGTATATGGGTGTTTAAAATTTACGACTTCTTGGGACAGGTACTTTTTTAACTTAGTAAGATCTGCCTGCCTGCAGGCATCCAAGAGGCAGTGGCCCTTGTACTCGTCTACAATTAAATTGTATCTAACAAAGTCACGTTCTGCGCGTACTTTCATTAAACAAAATACGAAAATAGTGAACATACATGCTAATCTTTCTTGCAATTCCAATGTTGGGGCCACGTCAATGGCGCTCTTACTGTGGCAGTTTAATTGAGTCGGATCTGCACCCTCGCTTAAAAGTAACGAGCACACCTCGGCTCTGGATTTACTAGCAGCTTCGTGCAGCGGAGTGAATGCCCACAAATCGCTGGCATTAACTGCTGCACCATGTTTCAGAAGTGCTTCCGTTACCTCGAAATGGCCGTACGAACAAGCGTTATGGAGTGGAACTAAACCTCTGTAATATTATCATTGCAAACGAATTACATTGTGCTACTTTCCATTAGAAATCATATATCGATCGAAGAATATTAATGATATTTACTTTCTTCAATCAAAAACATGAAGCACAAGAAAACTTAATCATTAAATTAGATATTTACCCTTTATCTTTTGCGTGCACGTCTGCACCATTTTGTAGTAAAATTTGTACTACTCTAGATCTGTTATATCCAGCAGCTAAGTGCAATGGCGTGGACCTCCTGCCGTCGCTCGCGTGGCAATTTACATTTAAAGGATTTAGAAGTTGCAAAAGCCGCTCCTCGTTTCCAGATCTCGCCGCTTCTAGCAACTCATCCTTCTTATACTCTCCAGTTAATACTGGTTTAGTTGCAGAGTCTGCTAATTCTAGTGCTGTCTTTTCCTCTGTATTTCTGATGTTTGCATCCGCTCCATGTTGTAGCAAAGCGATGCACACATCTATCTTACCCTATTGGAAGAATGTGATATTTAATCAAATGGACAAGATACACTAAAAATTAGTAGATTGAATTAAGTACCTTAATCGCAGCTTCATGCAAAGGAGTGTAATTCCAGTTGTCTCTGGTATTTGGATTAGCCCCTGCTTCCAATAGTAGTCTCACAACATCAGAATGTCCAAATGAGCAAGCATTATGCAGAGGATGTAATCCTCCATCGTCCCGTGCTTGTATAGATGCTCCAGCAGAAAGCAGAAATTCTACTACATCCCTTCTACCATAACCTGCACATTAAGAATACAAGGTTAATTAAAAACATTGCGTGAACACAATTGTTTAATGTAGACATAAATATTCAGTTAGTGTGTTTTAAATTTGATATGTACAAAGTAACAAAGTTTTTAAGTCCTTTAATTGTTATGCCACAGTTAATCAATTTTTTTTTACTTTGAAAACATCTTGTCATAATCAGTTTTCAGAGTAATCGACAATGTGTCTTCCTGACATTTATGATTTAAAAAAAAGACGTAAATATTACGACAAAGAAAGTGTCGTAATCTTATTACCAGTAAATAAAATCACGAAATGTAGGAAAAATTGCCGTCAGGTTTCGGTTATGTCTCCGTCGACCGCGAAGTGTTCAACCAAGAATTTTCGATATCAATACCCACAAAAATTAATATGCAAACTGACAATAGAAAATAAAGTATCTCGAGCGCTATTTTTCCAACTCTCCCCCATTTAAATCGTCGAATGACAACATTCGAAACTTCATATTATCCACGTCCGTGACGTGACACTGGAACGTCGTCGTTCCAGGCTTGATAATTATGTATCGAGGCGAATCGCGGTCCGTGCGCTGAATATCATTAACGAAATAAAATCGAAACAGTTCATGTAAGAATCGAGCTCACCAGCTGCAAAATGCAGGGGGGTGGACTTGCGTCCGGCAGTGTCTCGAGCATTGACCGTCTTCGGTGTAACCAACGCCTTTACCCTCGCTAGATCTCCAGTTTTGCACGCCTCGAACAGCTCCCTCAGCGGATCCGTGTTTCCCGATCCCGACAGGGAATCGGCATTTGTCAACGTCGATCTACGTCCTGCCATTTTACTCCGCCATTTTCACGCCACTGTCCGATAGATACACTTCACTGGCTCATAGTGTGTTGAAAGCTTTCACGACGACACCGAGATGAGTTGCTATGGCACAAGGCGCAACCCAGTGGCGCCGCCTTCCACCCAGAAACGTGCATTTTTTAAATGCTCGGACCGTATGAATCAATTCCTGGCAATCGGATCTGCACAAGCATGTGGAAAACAAAGATTTAAAAGAAATACTTAATAGAAAAAACAAACGAACGGTGGAATCGAAATTAGAAGAATGTATATAACCTCAAATTGCACCAATTAAACAAAAATTTAACGCCTATCGGCAATCCAATTCGATAGAGAAGAACGGACAATAATAAACCGACTCCAAGGAGAGGTCTCCAAGCATGACCCTGACTTGCTAATAAATTTTTGTACAGTAGATAATAAAAAGCTATAGCTAATAGTATATAGTTTTAAGGGTAGATGGTTTATCATTTATAAAATATACACATTGTAAATGACTACTGTGTAGCATAAAAAACATAGTCATTTGAAGGACGCAAAGACTGTCGTAAGGCAGTCTTCCAACAGGTAGAAGTGTGGATCGCTCGTGTATACGTTAATTCGAGTCATACGGAAATTTTTATATAAAACATATATAACGTATAAAAGAATAAAATATGTCGATCGATACTTCGTTTTATAATAATGTGTTTCTACTTATGCAAGTTGTGCCAGCATCGTTCGAATGTACCAAACACTTGAGAAAGGTATAATATAATTGAAACGAAATGCTGTTTAAGTTAATTACTATTTATGATCTTAATATATAACGATTTATAGGGAATGTTTGATAAGCCTAATTCTTCTGGTTTCATTCATGTCTCGCATTACTTGTTGTCCGTGCATAATTCGAAGGAATTTAAAAAAATGGTTAACTGGCCGATAATGAACAAAGTGGATGAAAAACGATATCGTGCAGAAATAAAAAATTATTTAGAGATTTTAGCTAACGAAAATCCTGATATAGAATTTCCACAAATACTCATATCTCGATTATTTCACGCAACAGGAACGAAATTCTTGAATATTATGTGGAAAATATCAGTAATTAGCCTTAGAGCTTACCTTAGTAGACAAAGTAAATCCTTAAAAGTAAAATTAAGTATTCAATTTCTTTATAGACTTGTTAACAATATTTTTTTTAGATGATACAACATTATTACAGCCTCCAAAAGCAGGGATCAACTACAATATAACTAAAACTTTCTTAATCAATATAAATCGAAGACATAACATTAATATTTTTAAGTTTCACAAAAAGATACAACTTATTTCAAAAGATTTTGAACACTATATGCAGTATAGTTTCTTTTTTACTTCGTACATTCTACTGTTTTGTATTCTCTGTAAAAATATATTTTCTTCTTTATTTGTAGAAACACAAGTGATCATTTAAAAACTGTACAAACTGATATCTTTAATACAATGGAAACAATAGAAAAATGGATACCTATGGCTCCAGTTAGCCCATTAATTCTAGCAGAATTAAGAAATATTGAAAACTCAGACATTATAAACAGTGTGTATATCGTATACGATTATTTAAAATTGACAATAATTTAATTTAAATATTAAATTATCTCAATTAAAATTTTTAGTGTGGAAAACAAATATTAAAGATAATATTAAGTATCTTCAAAACATCAAATCAAATTTAAACAAACTGAAAATTCTTAGTAATACATTAGACAATTTAAGTACGAATTTATTTGTTGATTGTAAAATTTTTCATGGTAAAGATTTTACAAATATGAATACTGGAATAGTACCTCTGTGTTTTGGTAACAACATACAGGTATATAAACTAATATGAAATTATGGGTGCTGTTAATAATTTAATCAACAACTCACAATGTGTTTTGTTTAAAGCACATTAACAAAGGATTATATAAGAATGGCTGCTTAATACTTCACACTCTATTGTTAATATTCAATAAAACATTAAAGCATATGGAATATTGCCTAACAGTAAATATTCCAATAGACTTATCAAACTACGAATCAACAATTTTCGAGCACTGTCAAAAGCTAAAATCCATGGAAGAATCATTTCAAAAACTGGAATTCAAAGTTTCCAATAAGTTACATGATGTACAATGTCATACTTTACAAGAGAAATCTTTAAACTATACTATGGAAACAGATTTCTTTAATTTGATGAGTGAAAAAATATTGTACACTTCACCAGAACTGAACTTTTCTATTAATGTATGCAAAGGAGATGAAAAATTATACAAAAGATTATGCTTTTCACCATTGAAAGGTAATAATTACTTTCCCTAAGGATAACAAAAGATTAATATTCTTAATTTCATAAATAATCTGTAGGTAAATACAATCATTTGTTTAAAAGGCATCCACTTAATAGACAGTATAAAACAGTTTCACCTAACCAATCACCAGTAAACGATCAATTTAATAACAGTCTGGAAAATGTTATGCAGACTTGGAACTCTCCTAAGAGACAATTATTAACATGTAACCAGAAAACTCCTAATAAAAGAGAGATGTCTCCAATATATACACGATTGTTTAGTCCAAGCAGTTCAAAGCAAAATAATTTTAAGGGTTTGTAATAAAAAAATGATTGGATAAGCAAATGAACATATAACAGTAAAATAATGTTCCTTTAGGTAATAATGCAGCATCTACTCCAATGAGATCACAAATAGTCGAAACACCAAAGAGATCCAAAACTCAAAGCATGAAACTTGAATCTGTGAATGTAAATGATACAATGAAAGACATTTTTGATCTTTCATGTAAAATTACGAAGCTCGTAGAATCTTTACCCACACCGAGTATGTAACATCGATTTAAGAGAAAAGTAAAATAAATCTATGTATGCACATATTAGGCGAATAAAAATGATATTTTCGACTATAATGATCTTATTTCTTACATGTTTTTTGATTATCGATAATCCTCGTGTTTGCACAGTTATAACAACTGTGATTAAACGTAACAATGATTAAATATTAAATATTTATGCAAGAATTGCATCTATTACATCACACGAAACATAGGTATTAACATATTTTTGCGTGTGAAGTTTTATGTAACTTTGGAAATGAGAGATAATGCTTTATAATATATAGGTTATTGTACTTGTTATAGGTTATTATTCGTTGAATACATATTACATTTTGATACGTTTGAAGATAAAAGTACTGTTTACATACAATGGTATAATAATAACAGTTTTGTGATGAAAATTCATAGAGATATTAAATAAATAATATAAATAGTAAAAAGGTTTTTAGTAGTGGAATAGTTTTCTATTTTGAACGCTAGATGATGCTATCGATACTTTTGAATCAATTATTCTTTATTTTTCATAAATACATAATTAATACGATTCTTTGCCTTAAAATACTACAGTATATTATTTTAATATATTATGTAAACATTTATCAGCTTTTATATATGTATCTGGGCCTAAGTATCGACCACTGGTACTAAAACCAATAATAAAGTTCAGTGCTTGCTACCAGTAGTAACCGCCATATTTGCTCACCCGCTCACGGAGTGCTTAGTGAGCGGTGCTTGTCTATATGCACATTTTATTTGATATTCTTGTTATCGCAAAATATTACGTTAGATAGTGTTATTTAAGATTTAGATGAGTTGTGCTTCCATATATAAACACGCGTGTGTTTAACTTGACCGAGCTTCTCTTCTAGCTTTGCTGACATAGACGTGCATTCCATTTTTGGCGCGAAACCCGCATAGCATTTTCGATGATTTTTGTATCGTTCAAAGAGTAGCTCGTAGTTTTGAATAAATTGTTTTGTTATCAAGTTGTAATCGTTGTAGCGTAGTCTGTGTTGTGAGAATAAATCTTTCCTATCTACCGTACGAGTAACGTGATTAGATAGCTTCTGAAATCCCCTACATTTACGATAGATAATCCAATGAAGCGTAATTGAAGGTTAGTAACGTGCTGATTGTGTATCGAAATGTGTAGACATAGAACACGAAGCATACGTTACGATAAATTGAAATGTATTATAAATAAACAAAGTATCCTGAAAGCGTACATTTATTTTTCACAAAATGGCCGTTTATTTAGTTACACGTTCACAGTTTAGGAATTTCATATCGGTTCCCTGTCAAATAGAAGACGCATTTCAAAGCTTCTATCATTTTCGAAACTTCTAGGCAGGGTTTTGGCGTTTGGTAATATAAAATGTTAATCATTTTTATTATGTCATTTGCGATGCTAGACCCATCCAGAATATTTCCTTTGCTAGCATCGTCTCTGTATGTCCTGAATTTCTTTAGTACTTGATTAGCCTCATATAGTATTTCCTTCTTCAAGTCCAAATTCTACAGTCGGATATAGCAAAAATAAGTATTTAATTGTAATTATTCGATTTATGTTTCATTGTTAACTTACTACACATGATTTTAGATCGTTGAATAGCGGCCAGTTTTCCTGGCATGGTAAGCAATTGCACTGGAAATAATACTTTTCCAGAAGATATTTCTGTCTCACAGCTTTTGGTACATACACATAAAGTTGACTATAACTGTCGAATATCTTAAAGAAAATAACATTTGTTGGTACCATTTCTCAAATATAACTTTTACAAATAATTTAAATATTTGTTTGTATACCTGTTCACCTTTTTCAATTGGATATAAAGCAGACATAATCATATACCCAGACCTTGTTATTCTAGCTATATTTGGATCACAGCTGTGATTAATAAAACACATAGATGGCATAATTGCAGAACCACGCGAAAGAGGATGCATTTCAGGGATCGGCATTTCTGATATCTACAAATACAGTAAAACCTTGACAAACCAAATTTACCTGTCAAAATCTTCCTATAATCTTTCTATTATTACATACACCGTGCCTATTACAGGGAATCAACTGCTGGTGCCTTAATATAAGGCTGCCAATGAATGTAACATCAGGGGTTTCTGCTAACATAGATATATCTTTTTTGAGTGGGTTTCCAAACATGTTGGTATACGTTGCCAAGATGTACAATATAAAGCTAGCATTCAGAGATCTGATAAACAGACGGTCTTTTGCATCTTCTTTATGGGTATCCAGTCCCCATAAACTTCTGTATTTATCGCCTTCAAAGATACCATTCTTAGAAAAACCTTTTGTGCATGAATCTAAAGGAGTACACAACTAAAATTAGTGCTTTTTCATATGTAATGTAGACAGTTAATTACCATTGCAATCGTCTACTTCTTTCAATTCTTCCCTTAACTCTTGTATACTTGAAGCTTCCTTCATAGCCTGTATAGCGAGTCGTAAGCTAAATAATTGTGATGTGCTAAAGTTCATCTTCATCATACAAGGGTATACAGAGCATTCCATGTCGTGATATTTTTTCCAACCCAAAATCTTACATTCTTCCGAGCAATACATGGCGTAAATACAATAGTCACAAGGAATGTTAGCCCATGATAGTTCTAAGCAGTTTGAGCAATGTGTGTACATATTTGCAGGACTCAAGAGTAACGAGTATGGCTTTTCTATAGCGATTATTTCACCAGGATTTATTTTACGAGTAGCGACAATGTGTCTACCGTATTGTTTGTTGTACATTAGAGTTAATGCATCCGAAATGCAAGGAATTTTAATATTGCGCGTCTTTAGTACAGGAAAAGGAGATTTATTTTTGCATTTCGCATCGTTTTGTTCCTTCGAGTTGTACGATTTTCCCATTTCTTCTTTGGAAATAAGTTTTTCGTTCAAGTTCTTACAATGAACATTACTGAAAGATATTTTATTTAACCATTCTTGTGCTTCTTTGATAGCATCTTCCATGGTAGGATGCTTCAGAACTTCGAAACAATCGATTTTTCTTGCATAAATCTTAGCTTTCAAATTATCTGGATACTGTAATGCCAATGCTCTATTTATATCGCGAACGCATTCTTCGTATTTATGCAATTTTATCAAAACTGCAGATCTATTAGCGTATCCAAGTGCAAGCTGTTCGGATGGATAAGGAGCGTAAACGATACTTTTCGTATACAGTTTCAATGCTTCTACACAAGAAGTACTCGTCAATGGCGAGGAAACAAATACCTTGTTACCGCGTTCTCTTAATCTCTCGGATTCCTTTGCATTCTTTGCATCACAACTTACAATAGGAAGTATATCATATTTTAACATAATATTAAGTGTAAATATAATGCGTTCCTCGTCGGTGCCTAGCATTTCGAATTCATTAACTACATCTTCGTTATTATTCGCAATTATCCTTTCTTTTAGCGTATTCCATGCTTCTGTCACTTCCATATTTTATTTGCTACAATACGAAGCTACGTATTAATTGAAAATTACTTCTAATTTTAAATACATTTTTCAAACGATACATTGGCGGATTTTGCTCGGAGTACAATACCTTTCGTATAATTCGACGGCTTTATATATCACTTTCTTTTCGTTTGCGATAAAAATACGCGATTCTATCAGTTTTCGAAACATTCAAAATATTCACGCACGTTTTCGATCGTTCTGTGATAAGAAGGGAATCGTGCGAACTTCTATTATAAGAGTGACTTAACTTTCCGCGTGGTCATTTTTGGTACACGGACTAAAATAGTGCGCTCTAAGAGTTTAATTCAGAGTGCATAAGTTTAGAGAAAGTACAAATAGGATATTATTATAATAAGAAAGACGAGTACAAGTCGTGTTACATGTACATGCGTTACATTTTCTTAAAAACATCATAATGAGATCGGGAAAATTATTTTGTATGTACATTGTATGTATATGGGTAGATCGTAGAGGCAAGAGTAGAATCGCATGGAACGATTACAGCTGATAATAAAATAACTCGAACAGTAACGAAATACATATAAAGGCGTTACGTTCGATTGTGAAACATTATCTAAGCTGTAATGTTACTTCTACTTGTATACGACTAACAATAAGATCATATTTGATTAGTGTAACTGAGTTTTGCGAAGGCACCGTGAATCGTCTATTTCAATTACAAGGAGTTGCGCGCGCATCCTTAATGGCGACTTGGTGCCATAGTCGGTCGGTCAGAGCACTATCTTCCGTATTTTCCAAGATACGTTTCTCGTCGTTCGATCCGTCGGTTTTGTCGTCTCACATCGCGTCCGACCAGCGAGTCGAGATTATTTTCAACCGACCTGTTCTACCAAATCATCAAGACGAAGCTCAAAATGTCATTGGTAAGTTCATTTTTCGTACTTCACCTCTAACTCTCTCACTGTCAATCGCTCTTTGAAACATTTTCGTTCCTCGCTTGTTTCGAATGGCTTACATCATGTTAGAGTTTCGTGACTTTAGGTTTGATATGTCATTCTATCCTTTCATACGTTTTCGATTATGAGTGGACAGTTTTTGTCACAGTAATTTGGGTGCGGTTTTGTGGTTAGACATCCTACAGCAGTGTTTATTTCAAACAAATTTTGTTCTTCTGGGACTTGAGTCACTCCCACAACTCTGGGTTACAAATGAATTGTTTAAGCCAAAAAGTAAAATTTGCATATTTCTTGCTATATTGTTTCAAGACTGGTTTGATTGAATGTACATGCTTCTTAGAGATTTTTTAGATAGAGAAACATTATTGTATATGGATAACAGGGTAAACTAGTAAAAGAACGAATATAAGAAATTGCAGACAATTTTGTACTCATAAGATACCTTTCTTTTCTAGGGCAATCATGCTGCCCTTACACCCTTGGAGGACATGTCGGCTGGTCGAGGGCAAGGAGGTGGGGGGCCTCCTCCAAATTGTCAAAAAGTTTTTATACAACGCGACTACAGCGAAGGCACCATGGTTAAGTTTCAGACAGAGTTTCCCACGGAATTGGAGAGTAGAGTACGTAATAAAATCTTACTTTGATTACTTATAAAATTCATATTATTAAAATGTACTCAGTTTTGTTACTGTTATTTGAATCGATACAACAGTTACATATTTCTCTATAATATCGCATATGTTTCATATTTTTATTGTCTATATGTTTGTTTGCCTGGATTTGTGTATGCGCTCAAGTTCCCTATAGGATGTTTTGTAATTTGAAGAAATGTTTTGCTGTCTTCCTTTTTCTTGTAAGCTAGGATGCAGAGAAGCAAATAATTCTTACTTTTTTCCATTGTACCGTTCGAATCGAAGTATTTGTTAAATTTGTAATTTATTGAACATTTTTTGCTGTCTTGCTCCTTGATTTAGCTGGACAGACAGTCGTTCGAGTATACGATCACTCAGTTGAACAACTACTTTGCCGAAGCGGAACGGGCCAGTTGTTCCACGTACTGCGAAGGCTGCCTGGCTTGTCTCACCGGTTACCTAATTTACATATGCACAGAGACTCATTACGAGAAGTGTTTGCGAAAAGTGGCAAAGTTTGTTAGTGAACAAAATGACAGAGTCTACAAGCCGCGCGGGCTGTTATTGACAGACCCGACGATTCGTGGACTTAGGTTAATAGAAATTTCAGTATTGGACAGACCTGCATCGTGACTGCACATTAGCCGATCCAGGGAGTTCTTTATGTGATCCGCGCGCTTCTGCCACTTTGCCAGGATTGCAGACCCACGTGAGCCGATGAGTGTTTCTGGACATAATTACGTTCAACTCCGACCTCCTTTGATTTAGTTGCGCGATGTGAATTTTGTTACGAGCCACGAATAACGAAAATTTATATTTTCAGCGAATCGTTCTGTAAACATACATGCAATATCGTCACGAATTCAAGGAACGAAGCTTGTCCACTTCGAAGTTGCACAGGATGAGAATCGATTCTCTTGTTCTATGACAGACTTTATATTTCGCTGATGTATCGTTGAAATTTAACGATTTCACGTTGGTCGACTAGACTTATGATTTTGAGTCTGCGATCTCAAAAAGATTCATAAAAGTTTCGTCTGAAAAGATTAACAGGGTTCGCTTGCATGTATGTTTCGTTTGCTTGAAAATTATTGTATCTCGTGTACGGAGTTCATTCGAAACATGGACACGTACCGCGGTATTGTACAAGTTAAATTTTATGCGCGTACGGTAATACACCGGTGCAAACAAAACAACTACAGCAAAGGAACGAGGTATATGTTTATTCAGAACAAACTGTTTCTTACGAGGAACTAATACGCAGATCCCATGTGCGTCGTTTCTTCGCGCGTTGGGCGAGGTTCGAACAGTTCTTTTTTACTGTTCGTTTAAAGACTTTATCGTCATCTGCATTTAACAGGCGACACGTGAATCAGACTTGAGTTCCATGCTGTTCGAAATAGAAAATAAAACAAACGGACTCGGCGCCAAGTTTGATTCTAACATCTTCGTCAAGTACTGAAAACGTTTTTTCACGTTATAAGTTTAAACGCTTCGTAAACACTAAGCAGACACTTGAATTATATTTTCCTCTTCCGCGATATATCTTCCACGATGATGCTTACGGTCAATTTTCCGTTTTCGTTTCGAACACACGTACGAGCCAGGTGTTCACTTGTCGTGGATGACACCTCTTCAAAGAAGCAAACCAACCGAAGAATTCGATCGAAATTGCTGGCACAAAGTATTTGCGCTGAGAAATCCAGGGATTGGCTAAGAAAAATTGTACAAACAAACAAAGATAGAGAAAGAAAGAAGTGGAATGAAAAAAAAAAAAAAAAATAGGAGAGAAAACGAGGTGATTATATTAGTAGAATACAATGTATTAAACTGATTAAATCGTGTGAACATTGTGATCAAGGATAAATTACGATTACACGTTCGCGCACCGACGTTCCGGTGCCCAGGTGTACGTATGTTGTGTGCGTGATGATTTTTTTATTTTATATTTTTGTACGATACCGCATGAGCGACTCAACCTTCGGAAATCTCTCTACGCATCCGGTGGTTAAGCGGGGTGCACGTTTGTGTTTTTTTTTTTTTTTTTTTTTTTTAAATCGTTTACGATTTGATTCGTTTTAAGGAAACGATTTGATCTCAAGCGTGACATCTGATTCTATATATTTTTCTTCGTGACTTTCGCGCGGCCGTCTGATTTACAGCAACGACTATACATATATACAATCGTTAAGTCTGCCTCGAGCGTTGGGTATACTTACCTCTACCACATACTGCGTCACAAAGAGGAGCACGATTAATTTTATACCGCGGTGGGGTATTCGGTCTCGTCCTTGGTCACAATGAATGCGGAGCCTGCTCGACGTAATCATGCGATCGACCCGATGGATAAAATCTTCGAGGCTTTCAGGACCTGGATTACTTACGGTTGACACCGTGCGAGTGACTTTTGGGATGTAAAGTGTGCCAGCTTGGAAGTGTGTTTCGACGTTTATACCTGTGCATGGAGTATGGTACCGAACAGCGTCGTTTGGTTGTTTTAACGCGGCTGGAGGAAAATTAATCTATCGTCTATTAAGCCTACCTAGCTGTATAATATTGTAATATCGCATAGTCGCATTTAATATCAGTGCACATGCATCGTACAGTGTCATCGAGTATTATAGATGAGCATTCATCAGACGGTATCGTGTATTTTAGGCTTAGAAATTAATTCTGTGCCTCGGTATTGAATTATTCATAACTCTAGTTTAAACGGATATATTTATATAGATTCCAAGTTCTCGGCCTGATCTCTGTCACAATGTATCTACACCTGAGTCTTAACCTGACGGTCATTCCGATGCATCCGTACGAACATTAGTAGCCATCAGATTTCGCTTATCGTTATTCTTCTACGGTTACTGTAATTATCAAGCACGCATTTATGGCTACAAATCCTCCTATATACGTGTACACACGTTCTAATGGCCATCAGGTTTGGACCAGGTCGAGAATGTAGAAGGTTGACAATTTAATATATAATAACAAAATATTTCTACTTAAGTTAAAGTTATAAATGATTAAATATTAAGGCAGAGAATTATTTCTATAGGTAATAATAACGTGCATTATCATTATCCAACGGCCACCGCGTGAGGTATCATACAGCGTCGCTTAACAGCGTAAAGTATCACGTGATATCATACTATGGTTTCAGTGGGTCGTCGAGAAATTCGATCGAAGTTAGGAGCGAGCAACGCGTCCAAACACGTTTCCAAAATGTCACGGCTGGACACCAGGAAGCCGCAAATATTTAACCACGGTAGGGGTCGACGAATCTTGCCAAATAGCCGCGCCACTGCCTCCGAAAATTTATTTTCCGTTACCAGCGAACGAAACGAACGAAAGAAACGAATCTCAACAGCCTTACGGACGATCTTGAGCGATTGTAATCGGGAATGAAAGAAAGAAAAAACAAAGAAAACAAACGTGTCGCTCGCCCTCGAGAACGCCGTTCACGGTTCTGGTTTACTCGCGTCGCAAGTTTACGCGCGGCAGGCTCCGCGCGTACGCAACGCGACGTTGCGTACAATGGTGTAAATAGCGAATTAATCGTCAACAACACTGAGTATCACGAGAGAAGTACCGTTTGTTATACTTAATTTAATTGTAGGACCAAAACGTTTGATGATTCGTTACTGTAAAGAACACCATCGTTCGAGTGTAATTTCTAAAAGTTTTAATAATAAAAGCTACGTAAAAGTCATAAACAGAGAGAGAGGGAGAGAGAGAGAGAGAGAGGGGGGGGGGAGAGACAGAGAAGGTTACACGTAGTAAACGCGAGGGAAGTGGTTGTAATCAGCGCCTATGATCCCGTAAACAGAAAAATACACACGCGTCGTATACCTCGAAGGAAACAGTGGGTGAAAGGTGAAGAGATTGGGAAGACACCAGCGAGTTTGAGCACATTCAGATTTTATTTTGTCGTTCGCGATAGTCTCCGACAGGCATGCTCGCTCGTAGCTATATCAAAAGACTAGAAACCAGTCTAACTCGTGTCGCTGAATTTCTCACGTTCGCTTAAAAACACCGCGGCTCTCTTCGTACATCGATAATATCGTAAGTCGATTCTCTGCCGCAATCGGTATGCAAATGTCACCGCCGTCGGTGAGGACCTCGTCGAGATTTGCTAATTCGCGTGACCACTCGTCAACGATCGTTCGCCTCGATTCGTTTCCTCCTGAGGAACAATGGAATACGGTACAGAGCACGTACAGTAACGCGCCGATTTTAACGAAACTTGGGTACACGGATGAAACATTGAAATGCATCGGACGCGTATTTCCTTACGTCGGTTGATTGGTGACGCATAACGTGACGTTCGAGGGTAGTTCTCATGAATCGTGCATGAATCAGCCGACATACAAAAAAAAAATACGTGCCCAACGTTTTTTCAATGCTCCAGCTGTGTACCAAGTTTCGTTAAAATCGTCGCGCAACAGTTGGACGATGTTCCTCGCGAGCATGATTTCGTTCGTCTAAACGAAGCGCGGATAAACGAGGTTCTACCGCACAGTAAACGACGGGTCAACGCGAGAACCACGAGTCGTATCCTTGAATACGCGGATGCGCCTCGTACAAAAGCGGAATGCGAAATCACGTTTTCGTTTTCTGCGTCACAGCCGCGTGACGTAACGGAATCATTGATTCGATCAACATCGACATGCCTAACTAGTTTCAAAGGCGTCCGTCTTTGGAGTCGTACGCTGTGACGCGGAATCGAGCCGGGAGTCCTCGCTTCGTTCGCTGTAATATATATAAAAACGTCGATTTGCTATGTTTCACAAATTTTCGAACGTCTCGGGGATCAACGTTCTCCGTGACTATCCCAAGATATCGAGACTATAATACAAAAAGATTGTCAAAATCAAAGTCATATTCACAGTTCGACAACGCGACGTTGCGATTGCAAGCTGGTCTGCAACGACCGCACCCCTCTAATCACCTAGCCTAACCTAGACTAAACTCTACAGAGTTTTAGCACTCTCTACGTCATTGTTTCGAGACGATGGTGGGTGGTTTTCGTCGTCGAGACACTGTGTTTTATATTTTCGGTAACACCGTTTGCCAACAGAATTCTCAATGTAGCGGTGAATTGTATAGTTACTCTGTTCCTTGGTAACTGATTGGCGTTTCGCCAATTGTCCCCTTCGACAGTGATTCACGGTAGCCGCGAAGTGGAAGCGTACTAAATCGTCTCCCTGTTCGCGTAAACAATCGGGAGAGCTCCCTCGATTTTATTCACAGGCTTCAAGAGTGGTCGACGTGAGACGTCAAATGAGCAGACAGAGCTTGTTGCGGCTCTTTCTGTCGGGAATGAGGGCCTTTGACTTGGCGAGGTCCTCTGGCGCGCTTCTCGTGTACAGCGACCTGCTGATGCGATGCCTGACCCCTTTGCTCAACGTGCGACTGCCCTTTCTCAACGAGGCGAACCGCCCTAACGTAGACTTCTCAGGAACCTCTTTCCTCTCCGCGTGAGCGCAGTTCAGGGTGGTCACCGTGAACTCGATGTCCTTGGGCTCGTAGGAAACGAACTCCTCGACGGGTTCGTCGATGGTGTCGCGATCGATCCAGGTCAGACCCATCTCGACCTTCTCCGCGAGGTCCTGCCAGTGCCTTCTGTTCTCCATGGT